GAAGTACTGAGGGGGATCCCATGTCAACTCCTTTGCTATTTCAATAAAAGAAATCCATGTTGCTATTTTTAACTTAATATTTAAGTTTCTTAAATATTTATAATCCACTTGCAACTGTCCTAAATCCTGGAGACAAAAAAAATGAATAAAATGAATAAAAGACCAAACTTCGACTCAAGTTAGTAGTGGAAACCAGGAGACAGAGATCTGTAAACCAGCAGACTTCAGCTGGATCTTAAATAACCAGTAACCAGAGGCATGAGATTAGCACACCCAGAGCCACCAGCAGTTGGTACACCTAGCACCCAGACCTCCACTCCAAGGACCCAGAGCTTCCTAGAGACAGGGCTGATTCCAGAACTGAGGCAGGGAAAGGACAAGATGAGCCTGAACATCTTCTCACGCCAGAAAGTAAACACATGTTCAAGGAATGATGGAGACATATCAAGGACACAGAAGGCAGCTTAAAGGAGCTCTCGCTGGCCCATCTGGGACAATTCTAAAATCAAAATAGATAGCAACAGTGATAGTTCATTGAATAAAGTAAGAATTTATAAGCCAATATTGATGTAAAGAAGAGAAAATTATCAGAGTAGGAGCATGACAGGTAATAAACACAGAAAGGGTGTGGCCACTAGGAAAACATCAGTACTCGCTAAGAATGGTGAAATCTGGATAATGAGATATTTAATAGTCTCAAAGTATCTCCCCACAAATACTTAACTAGTTATGAAGGGTGAAATTGTAACTCTACAGTGGAGAGACTTTGCAAACACGTCTCGCCCCAGTGGTTACAGTTAATTTTGCCAGGACTGGACCCCCCCAGCGGCTGCGCTGAGACGGACACAGCAGCGCTGCCCCGGTGCTCCCGCAAACCCACAGCCTGAAGCTGGTCCGGCATAGCGAGAGACAAGCCTCCCACAGAGTACTGCCTTTGGCTCTTTATAGAGGCCAAGGGCAAGAAGCACAGAGCAGAAGCAAGGAGACAGACAGTGCAGGGCAGGTCCCAAGCGGGGCCCTGGATGGGGACAGGGGGTTCGAAGGACAGGGTTTGATGACTCGATAAAATCTGAATGCTGCTGCGGGTTCGATGACGGTGCTGTACCAATGTTAAACTCGGTTTTTGGTAACGTACAACTGTGGTTTTGTATGAGACTATCTCTATTATGGGGTCATACAGTGTGTTTCTAGTCCACTTTCAAATGGTTTGGGGAAAAAAATAATTTTTTTGTGTGTATAAAAGTACAAGAAGAGAGGATAAAAGATAAAGCAAACTTGGTGGAACATAAACAAATGGTGAATCTGACAAAAGGTGCGTGGGAGTTCCTTGTACTATTCTTATAACTTCTCTTAAAATGAAATTATGTGAAAACAAAACAATTCCCCACTCCTTGCCCCACAAAAGAGATCAGGTATGTACATTATCACCTCTCTTAAAAAAAAAAAAAAAAAAAACCTGGGAATAACTTTTGAGAGGGTAGGAAAGGAAGAAACTTACAAATGTAGTCCAATTCCCAAAAGCAAGATCACACAAATAAACTGGGACCTCTGCACACAGCATTTTGACAGCCTTTTAAAAATAAAATACAAGAGCATCGTTACCAGACAGCTGGCTTTCCTGCTGGGGCATTCTGTGCTTCTCCCATTTTTCTGTGTGGCCAATAAAATAAAGGATTGTGTACTTGATTTGCTGCCAAATCCCTAAAATTTTCATTACCTTGATTAGGCAACTGAATTCACTGTCTGCTTTCATTTTCTTAGCGAACACTATAAACAGCTACACCCAAAAACCCACATTTTTTTTCTTTACACTAAAAGGAAAGGACAGTAATATTTGCTGGGACTGCTATCAGGCAGACGGGCAGGCAGGCAGGCAGGCAGGCACCGTGTTACTCACTTTACGTGAGTCAGAACACAATCCTTACCGCCGCTCCTCCTGGGAGGAGAGCTGACACTCATTTTACTGATGAGGAAACTGGGATTCATTCAGGCTAGGTAACCACAGTTACACAGATGGGAAATGGAAGCCAAGATGCAAACACTTCAAAGACTACGCCAGGTCCCCTGAACTGCAGGACAGAGGCTGACGGTCTAAGGCAGAGAATGTCCCATGGCATATGCTTGTTCTAACTCCTGTTTCTTGTGTTTAATCACAAAGAATGGCTTTAGATGACTATAGTAACTTTCCACTAAGTAAACTTTTTATCTATCTTTGTTATATTCGCTGTTACTACTCAAAAATAGGTTGGGGGGGGGTGTTTTGGTAATGAACAAAATTATGATTTTGCAAGGTTGATCATTTGGTTTCTTAAAATTAAATACTTAAAAATAGCATTCTGAGAAATGAACAGATAATGTTTCTATATTCTAAGTAATAAAAAGAGATCCACTCTATAGATATAATTCTTTAAGTAGACTACTTACATAAATAATCAGAGGCACATGAAATTTTAGAAGCAATATTTGCTGATATCTAACACTACTTATAAGCAGCATTAATTTGCTCCTTTTGTACTCATACCAACCAAATCCATACAATAAAATATGAACAGGGAAATAATACAAATTCACATATATAGGGATTGATTAACCTCATTAACAAAAAAGTCTCTCTCAATTTCAGATTCCCTTAATGTTTTCCCCTCAAAGTTTTAAATATAAAATTTGATTTAATTTGATTCACCCAGAAATGTTCAAGGATACATTCACAGCATGTGGCAAGTTAGGGCTACACTGAACCAGGACATTCATTCACTCTCTTAGGCCGGCAGCTATGTGGTGACTCTAAGGTCATGCATGACATCACTCCACCCAGGTTCTTGCACACGGATGATGGAAACCCAGCCATTCACTAGGCCAGAATCCACAGCTAAGGCTACTCACCTATCACAGTGTTTTCTCAGACATCTAAATTCCCTCCCAACATACCATACCTGTCACCACTGATCCATCGGGGTTTGGAAAACAGAATGCAACCTAATCATTATCCTTATTCTAGAAGCCCCCATTAAAAATTTTCTGAATCAATCTTGACTGCCTGCCATATACTTAAAGAAAACAGTAAAATATTATTCCTAATCAAGAAATAAATAACACTTTGGGGAAAGAGCAGCAGATAAAATAGCTAACTATAACAAATAAGCTATTTTCATGGAAAATTCCTTTGTTTTTTCTATTTATTTTAAAATTAGCATGATTTTGGAATTAAATTTGATATAAAAACATTTTTTCAGTAACTGTTGCTAGTTGGCATATCCAAAAAGCCTATGTTTAGAGCTTTCTTCCTTTCTTCCTCAATTTGTAATACAAATTGTACACAATAGGTAGCACTATTATAAAATGCAACAGTTACATAGAATTCACTGTCATTAAAGCAAGAGATGAGAAATGCTTAACTACTGTGTTTCCCTGAAAATAAGACCTACCCATAAAATAAGCCCTAGCAGGATTTCTAAGCATTTGCATAATATAAGCCCTATCCAGAAAATAAGTGGCGTGGCTACACAGCATATCTGCACAACCCATGCATTTCCTCACGGAGCAGTAAAGACGACGAGCAGCCCTTCTCATCTGCCCCATAAGAGCTCTATTGCCCGACATGAGAAATTGGGGCCAATTGTTGTAAAGGAAATAGAGTTGCAAGAAATCCAGGATGGAATTCGGGGTTTGGAGAGTGATGATGATATACCAGAAGACGATGACTTAACTATATTTGAATAAATGTAGATTGTTGTACTGTACTTAAAAAAAAAAAATAACACAACCCCTGAAAATAAGCCCTATGGTGTCTTCTTGAGGAAAAATAAATATAAGACCCTGTCTAATTTTCGGGGAAACATGGTATCACTAAATAAGACTACATGGTAGAATAAGGAAAACAGTTTTCTACAGATCACTTCACTTCTTTATAGGAGAATCTTTAGAATCTATCTGCAGTAACTTTTTTACTTTAGAGTGCTGAGTTTATCCAGACTATAGTGGAAAACTGCAATTCCTGTGCCTTAATGAAAATGATCTGAAATGGGCACTGATCAAAAATAGAAGAAAGAATTAAGGCACGCTCCACTTTGAAAGCATACAGTATGATCATACATGACTTTAATTTAGAACTCTATTATTCTTTTTTTTTTCTTCTTTAAACCATAAACCAGGGGAAACTGTCTTGAAAACAGAAGACAAGTAGTGGTCTGGAACAGGGCTGCTTAAAAGTAGACAAACACATACACACACACACACACACGCACACACACACACACACAGAACCCACCATCCTCACTCCACTCAGAGCTGTTCATCCAATCTAAAGCTACACACAAGTTATTTCTCTTACGTAAAGGAAATTTTATGTTTAAAACAAACTTGAAGATTCTATCAAAATTATCTGCTAAAAGAAGTTACACCTGAGAAACACCTAACTTAGGGACTGTCTCTCTGGGCTTTTGTTAAGAGGACTCAAAGGAGACAATTGAAACAGCACGGGTCCCAGCTGGAGGTAATCAGTGCCACACAATGACATTTCAGTCAACGATGGGCCACATGCGTGACGATGGTCCTGTAAGATTACGATATTGTATTTTTATTGTAAATTTTGTTTAGACATGTGTAGATGCACAAATACCACTGTGTTGCAACTGCCTATGGTATTCAGTACAGTAACACGCTGCACAGGAGTGCAGCCTGGAGCAGGAGGCCATGCCACACAGCACAGGTGTACAGCAGGCTACGCCACGTGGGTTTGTGTGAGCACCCCCAGTGATGTTCTGTCAACGAAGACTCTGCCTAACGACACATTTCCCAGAACATATCCCTGTATTTAGGCGATGTGTTACCTGTAGTATTTAAATGATAATTCTTATACCAACTTCAAGTAGGTAGAGGTTGGTCTACATATTGTAACAGAGGCGATTTTTAATTCTTTCTTCAGAAAGGTTCTCTAGAAATTAGGACATTCTAAGTGAAACACAGATTTAAAGAGGCACTCATAAAACTTGTCAACTTACCCCGCCTGACAGCTTAATCACCCTGACCTTGGAGCTGACATGGGGCCCGTCTCCGCCACCGCTGTTTGCCCTGTGCGTGACAGTCCTTTTCCCGCCAGGCTTCAAGTCCTGGGGCCGGCCCTGAATGGATGCCGCCCGGGCAGTCTCCTCCATGTCCACAGGTTTTATCTGGAGGACCTTGTGCAGCGGCTGAGTCTGACTTGGAGGGACTGTTCTGGCCTGTCTCAGATGTTTCAGTGGCTTCATCTGCTGTCCTTGATACTGCATGTTGGCACCAGACGGTATAAAATTTGATGTTTTGGGCTGAACACTTGGAACAGTGACATCTTGGTTTTTAACAAGAAGTCTGTTTTTCACGTTCTGTCTGACCTGTGCACCTGGAAAGGGCAGCAGGGGGTTCCCGTTGGTGGGTGACGGTGCAGATGCCTGCTCCTCCGGCTCGCCCGGCGGTGGCGGGGTATAGAGCTGCTGCTGCTGCTGCGCGAGTCTTTCCAGCAGCTCCTTCTTCCGGGCGCCCGCCTGCTGCTGCCGCCGCAGCTCCTTCTGCTTCAGGATTTCTTCTCTCAGGCGTTTCTGCTCTTCTATCTTCAAGCGATATAACCTGGTTTCCTCATCTTCATCAGGAAACTAAATGGGAAACATACATGGTTTACTGTGCTATACAACGCCAGGTGACCACACCAGTCTATTTCAACAAACTAAGAAAACACAATTTCCAAAAACCTTTAATCCAGTATTTGAAGAAGTCATTCAAAATCTGCTTAAAGACTTTAAGTGTAACTCTTTCCTCTGGGGAGGCGAAAAAAATTACACAGCCAAAGCTAATTTGGAAAATCTTATCAGAATATTAAAAATGAAATAATGTAAATTTCCACTCATTTACAAGTTTGAAACCAATTAAACTATTCATTTAAGATATCAAAATATGTTTCAAACGGGAATGGCAGCAGGAGGAGGCCGCTGTCACACAGGTTTTATCTGGCTCTTCCCTGACAAACCAACAAAAGGTGGGGTATAAATGACCTGAAAGGGCCTGATTAGAACTATTGATTTTTTGTACAGAATTTTCAGCCTGATCTCAAACTCATTTGTCACAGAATAATTGGTTATAATGAACAGCACAAGTCAATCTCTCTGACCTTGAACTCATGCACTCTGCTCAGAATCAAAATGCTGCCAATTGCAGTATTGGAATATTAATGGTATGTAAGGAATGCCTTTAACATTCCAGCCCCTAAACATTCTGAAAGTCTAGCAAAAAAAAAAAATCTTTGAAAAAGTCTAGTAACTTTCATGAAAAGCATCTAATAAAAAAGTTTATAAAAAGTTAAGCATTTAAAAAAATTGTAATAATATTCTTTAAAATCATTATACCCACAGACCCTTAATAAAAGCATGTGGCAGGGATTTAATCTATCTAGAAGTCAGCTATTAACAATCTTGCCTGCCCTGAATACACCTTAAGAATTAGGGACTTAGGACAAAAAGCGGCTGAGGACCTAGCTGGCGTTCCTGGAGCCCAAGTGCTCGATGCCGGCCCATTAGGGGGGCTTGCTTGTCACCTTGGAGGCAACTCTGGCACACTCAGTCACCTAATTTCCAAGTCTAGGACAGACTTCAAACCTCAAACATGAAGGTGGGCGAGGAGCTGTAACACAGGCACACAGAGCAAGCAGTGACATGGGGGCAAGACAGAAAATCAGTGAGATGGGGACACAGGGTTCCAAGAGTGGAGGGCCAAGGGTCCGGGGAGGAGCAGAGGCTGTGCACATGTCACTCGGACCCGAGGAGCCTGTTCCAAAATGCAGGAACAGCTACAAGCCCCAGGATTTCTTCCCAACAATCGAGAGAGGGAAGTATGTTAAAGTATGTTCGGAATATAGATAGAAACACTTGGGAAAGCCTCCATCTAAATAGTTTCATCCTCTATTACATCACTGCCAATGAGGTGAGTGTAAGAAAATAAGTCACATTCAGCTAAGGAAAACAAACAGAAGACTCTTCTTTTAAAACGTAAAAGGAAATTACAGTCCTGGTCCCATTTATGTACAAAGAAAATCAAAAAGAAAACGAATTAAGACATTCAACTTATACTGCAGTGACTCTCAAGTTCCATTTCACGCATAAAGTATCTGTTTAAAGTAACTTTATGAAAGAATTCTTTACAAATCCACCTAAATCAACTATTATGAAAGGAACTGGCTGCCAGACGTGGCTAGCAGTATGCCTAAAAGGTCACTCTTCTGCTATTATTTTGCCACTGTTACTGTATAAGTAATGTGTTTGTGATTTAATTTTTCTGAGCTAAATCAGTCCACACATACCGAGTTAGGAGCTGGTTATATAAATCAAAAGCAAGATAAAATTCTGTATAAGCTACGCCAATCCAGTTTGTAAATCTACATTATTTTTTCATATACTGATTTTAAACCCAAAAACATCCTTCTTCTAATGTTTATTAAACATTAACTCATTATTTAAATTTTATATATTTCATTTCTGATTTGGTACATATTACAACTGCTACAATAATTTATTATAAGAAAATCTGACTGAAAGATATTTTTAACTGGTTTTATAAAATTAAGAAAGCATGACTAGCCTAAATTCTCATCTAAAGCAAGTCTTCATGCCACCATTACCGTTAGTAAGCTAACTTGCTGTACTGCTTCCGTGCATTTCACATAAATGTTAGCGAGGCCAAAACAGATTCCACATGCTGGTCTTGCCGTGTCCATGCACGAACACCACCTTGTCACCGCCTCCCTCACCAGAGAAGGAGACGAAGGCTAGTGAGAGACGAAGGCCGTGACTGAAAGCCACGTAAAACACTCACCTGCATTTACTACTACTATATGCTTATACCTTTCCATACCTACATAAATGCTAGCAACAACACATATAATTATAATTCAAAACAAATCACCCCCCCCCAATCTTAAAAGACCAACAGAAAAATGGGTCCTATCTTCTAGGTTTTTACAATGTAAAACAAAACAAGAAAAAGTCACAGAAATGCAACAGTGTATGTACATCGGGGCTCAGCAGACACACCCCACAAGCCGACCCTGGTCTCTGCCACCTGGTCTCACAAGTAAAGCTTTACTGGAACACAGGCCCATGCGTTCACTTAAGGCATAGAAAGAGCCTTTGTGCTAAAGTGGTGTAGATGGGTAATGATTACAAACAGTTTAGATTATAAAACTGAAAATATCTGCAAAATATCTGGGCTCTTCACAGAAAAAGTTTGCCAAGTCCTGGTATACACTGATTCTATATAATACAACCATAACTGTACAAAAAGATAAATCCTGATATTGTACACCACTGAGAATACAAATGTTTACTTTATCAACACGGCTGTTAGGTTAAAAAAATGATCTGCTGAAAACAAGTGGAAAGAGTTTGTGACTAACTTACTAACGAGAGTGACCTAAGAGGCGTAGTTGATTCTCAGGCTTTCTGTGTAAGACCAAGTATTTTTTTAACCAGGAAAAGGTCCTACCTCTGGTTCCGCTTTGGCTTCTTCTTTAGGTTGAGCCACTGGGCTAACTGGCTTGACTTTCGCTTCGGTCTTTCCCTGCAAGCTCCTGGAAGCCACCACAGCCCTTGCGGGCTGCGAGGCGCTGACGACAGGCTTCACTGGAGCCGCCGGGGTGGAGGAGCAGCGACTGCTGCTCATCTCCATGACGTGCGATGGTGCTATCGGCAACTCACGCAAATTACTGTTTCTGGGAGCAGTGGGCTGCATTTGCTGCATGGGCCGTTTGGTTACATTCTGAGAAGTCGTATTCTGTCATAAGAAGAAAAATTTTAATTATAATTAGAAACTTGGCAGAAGGAACATTAAAAGGCACATTATTAAATAAAAATATAATAAAATTGTTCTAATTAGTAAATGATTTCTCTTTGAGGGAGCAGATACCCTTCCTCTGCATTAATACTTTTTTCATGCATAAGTGCTGCCTGGCCTACAGTGCAGCAGTATGCCCCACTGTTAAGGATTCCAATCGGTGAAGGTCCCATACTTGCCCACAGATGGGGCCCTCTTTGCGGAAATTACACCAGGTGATCTTCAGGTGGAGCTTCAGGATGGGAACTGACATTTTTAACAGAATTGATAGAGCCCCCAAAAAAGCCTTCTACCTGCCACAAGGAGTCAGTGGGACTGATGGTGCTACGGTTTTACTTAGTCACTTAAATTTAAGGTGGAATAATAAAAGAATCAAGCATTAAGTGCTAAGAAAAACAACTCCCTGGAAAAGAAAGATGTCAGGCAGCTTGGTCGGAGAGGAAACACTTGGTCACATTCATCCTAGGGATTCTTAAGAAAGAACCAACCCCTAGAATCGCTGCAGGCACATGAAGAGCCCCTGCGGGCAGGGCAGGGGCAGCCCCAAGATGGCGCAGGCCAAATGGCCACGGGCACAAGTCTCACGAGAATAGCGTGTCATCATTGTAACAATGAAACCCAAGTTATAGAGCATCCTCTTCTCAGATCTAGAAACACTTTCTTGTTGCTTACATCATTTTAGTCACAATGTTACTTTACAACAAAGAGAGGCAAGTATCAGGAAAACTGAGATTCAAAGTGCCTAAGTGACATGGTTAAAGCCCAAGGGTGAAAGTAGACAATGCTAAAAGAGAACCTTACAGACTAGAACCCAACCTGGAAGGCACACTATGGCTCTTTCCTGAAAAACTGAATTACAAAAGTCTCATCTATAGTTCTTTAATAGAGGACAAGGCAACGACTGCTGCCTTTTATTTTCAGAGCAATACAGTACTTCCCAGTTTCCTCTGCTGCACAGCAAGCCACACATTTGCTGATGGCACTTGAAAATGTAACCCCACAAATAAATGTGTGCTGTGCTCACTCAACTGAACATAAGCTCCTTGAAGGGAGGGAATTTGTCTCTTTTGCTCACCTTTGTATTTATAGGAACTAGAGTATGCCTGGCAACAGGATAGTCAATATATTTTTCCTGGATTCATTTACTTATTTATTCAGAGCCCAAAGAGACAGAGAAATTTATGCATCAAAAAATAAGCCACTGGCAAAGGCAGAGTGATTGCCACCCAAAAGTATTTTCTAATGTTATGTGTTTATTAATAATATCTATCACTACACAAATATCTAGATATATAAAAGATGCTAAACAGTAACACAGTCTTTAAGACACAAAAGGGTAAGTTATTAATTTCTATAGTCAAGAAAACAAGTTCCAAGGTGTTTTTAAAAATCTGAATTCACTTCCAAAAAATGTAGTGCATGTTTTATAAATTTAGATCAGAACTGGAAAATATTCTAACTCACAAGTCATGCCCCTGAATTTCTACAGGTTAAAAGCCACCCCAGGCAGACATGGGAAGCACCGCCCGATACGTACGTGCCGCGGCCCCTGGCGCTGGGGGCCCTGCACCCGGCTGCTGTTCGGCTGAGGCTGGGCACTCTGCACGTGAGGCCGGAACTGCGGCTGGGCCATGGGCATCAGAGGCGGGGGTGGCACCGACAGGTGGTGGTGCTGCTGCGGCTGGTGCTGTGGGGGCGGCTGGTGCTGGGGCGGGGGCTGGGGCGGGGGCTGGTGCTGGTGGTGTGGGGGCTGCTGCTGAGCCGGCTGGGGCTGGGGCTGCGGCTGCGGCTGATGTGGAGGTGGCAGTGGAGGATGCAACGGCCCCTTCCATGGCAAAGGAAAGAGAAACAACGGTTTACAAATGGATATACCAGGTACATTCCACGTCAAGCACATTTCCTTAAAAACTTCAACACAAGAAAGTTTAGGCCAGCGCGGTGGCTCACGCCTGTAATCCTAGCACTCTGGGAGGCCAAGGTAGGAGGATCGCTCAGTCAGGAGTTCGAGATCAGCCTGAGCAAGAGTGAGATCCCGTTTCTACTAAAAATGGAAAGAAATTAGTTGGACAACTAAAACTATAAAGAAAAAAATTAGTCGGGCATGGTGGCGCATGCCTGTAGTCCCAGCTACTCAGGAGGCTGAGGCAGGAGGATCGCTTGAGCCCAGGAGTTTGAGGTTGCTGTGAGCTAGGCTGACCGCCATAACACTTTAGCCAGGGCAACAGAGTGAGACTCTGTCTCAAAAAACAAAAGAAACTTTAAGTGGTATCAAAATTCACTTAAGATTTGTTGATGAATACTATCTTAAATGCAGCAATAAGCCAAAAGCTACTACCTTAAATTTTATGTTTCAATTCAGTAATTCTAGGAATTTGTCCAAAGGAAATACCTAAGTATACAAACAAACTCATCACCTCAAGTGGGTTCCCTAAAGCACCATGACACCAACGTACTGAAACCAACACACACACGCAAAAGCGGCAACACTAAGATGTCACCTTGTACAGCACTCTGAAATGATGTAGTAAAAGCCTATCACTGACACAAAAAGAGCGTAATGACATGTTAACTAGAGGGAAAAAAGGCATGGTGGTGAAGACACAAGCACTTTAAAAAGGCTGAGAAAATATACACCCAATTATTAATGGTGAGTGTTTCTACACAATGACATTATTTAATTTCCTTTTCTTATACTTAACTATATTCTAATATTTCTGTGATGGAGATATATTAACTGTATTTTTTATAAAAAGAAAAATGTTAATACCCTCAATAATCAATCATTTTCCTTTTTTAGCTTAGACATATATATTATGTGTTCCTAAATAGTTGACTAATATATAATATATAGTTACCATTGCTATGTACTTTAATAGTAACCCCAAAATACTAGAAGAAACATACCGGGTAAAAAAGATGTTACAGAGACTCAGGTCCAGCCAGGAAACATAAACCATCAGCAGAGGGCACTCAAGTCTTTCAAACAACCAGTGAGACCAACACTCCTCCCCCCTCCATGCACTCATTTCTACTGCAGGAATGTAATTTGATCAAAGATCTTTATTGGTAAACCTTTCAAGAAATCTTGCAAAGATGAGTAAATGTATTATCAAAACAAGCCCTAAATTTTATTGGTAGTACATCCTTTAGAAAATCCTAATGGTGACGTTTTTTTAATTCCCCCCCAAAATGACAATGACTTTTCTAATTCCTCCTAGTACTAAGGAGATAAAGCAATATTGTCCGAAAAAAAAAGTTGTCTTCAATAAACAGTACATTTAAGACTAAAATGCTTATTATTTAAAAAACCACAAATTAGTAGACTAGAGTAAAAATGTGAATAAAACACAAAGACTCAGCTACACACAGACGTTCCCCTCAAGGCTGGCCAGGCGCATACCTGCAGGCTGGGCTGTGCGTGCGTGGGCAGAAACGGCTGGCCGGGGCCGGGCAGGAAGGGCTGTCTGGGAGGGATGAAGGGCCGCGTGGGCGCCGACCCCGGCTGGCTGAAGTGCAGGATCCCCACTGGACCTGGAGGTTGCAGGGCGGGCCTGACAGGCCTCTCTCTCGGGAACACGGGTTGCTGTCCTTGCTGATTGAATGCTGGTCCTGGCTGAGTGAAGGGTAAAGGATTCTGAGTAGGAACAGGATGGCTGCTGTTAAGAAGCGTGGGAGGAGGCGGTGGTGGAGGGGGACTTCGCTGTTCCAAAAACAGATGACTTGGGAACCTTGGTTCACCTGAAACTGAAGGATAGTACAGCAATGTTATCTTCAGGTTAGAAAGAGCTTCTTAGAAAAGCAGTTTGAACAAACATTACAAGTATAGGCAGGGGATTCTAGATTTTGGCTCTTATTTCTAGATTGCTTTGTCATTTTGTATGAACAGTTTCCTCCTATATATAAGATTTCCACATTTCACATACCAACTATTTCCAATCTTAGCATTTGAAATGATAGGCAGAACTGCTATGGTATAAAGTCTGACATTCTTAACAAAACCTCCTATCGGGAGTTAAATGCAGCTTAAGAAATACATGTGTTTAGGCACATCACCTAATACAGCTTCTCTTAAGTCACTCCATGCTACCCAAGCTTCACATACCTCCTAAGAAGAAAGGGTCTCGTTCCTGAGGTGGGGGTGGGGCTCTCCACTGGTCCTGGAGAGGAAGTCGTGGGGGCTGACTGAAGTTGTTGGGAACAGGTCCAGGTGTATGCTGTGGGAATTCTGGAGGGCCCTAAAGAACAACAACAGAAAAATGGGATGGAAGACAGAAAAATAATCTGTGATTCTGAGAACTATATATGTAGGTCCAAGTTTTCCTCTGAAAACGTCAAGTAACTTATCTCCTACAGTCAGTGAGTGTCTCTCTCTCTCTCTCTACACACACACACACACACACACACACACACACACACACATAGAGTCATGTGTCCCTTAATGACAGGGATACAGCCTAACACACGCATCACTGGGCGAGCTCATCGCACAACACCACAGGGCGTGCTAGCACAACCCTAGATGGTGCGGCCTACTACACACACCTAGGCTGTGCGGTGTGGGCTGTTGCTCCTAGGCTACACGCAGCGCAGCATGTTACTATACAAACAGCCTACCGAGGCAACTGTAACACGATGGTAAGTATTTGTGTATCTGAACATACCTAAGCACAGAAATGGTACAGTAAAAATATGGTGCGATAATCTTACAGGACCACCACTGTATATGCAGTCCATTGTTAACCAAACGTCCTTATGACCGTACATACGAAAATATAAAAGATAGTACATTACAAAATAGGTGATTCTACCGTAATGAAAGTACCAAAAATCAAAATGCAGCATCTAAAAATTAATTCAATGTTTTAATATTATTACAGCAGCACAAGAATATTATTTTTAAGCTTATTGAAATCCACATAATTATTGACCTTCTTTCCCAGTAATCCAAAAGACTAAATGTCTACTTTGAACGCTCATGACATTTATCTTCTCAAAGATGCTATTCTTTGCTACCTATTTAACACAACCATAAGCTACAGCTATGAAGCTGCTTTACTTCAAAAAAGGAAAAGAAATTCAACTTGTACCATAACAAAAATCAGCAATCTCTGACATAAAAGAAAATGTGAAATGTTTAAGAAATTGAATTACTACAAAACAAATATTAGTTGGATTCCTTTGAATTAAAAATTTTAAACAATCTCTTACAAATTAACATTTTTCAAAAACTACACGTTACTAGTAGAACTCTACTAAAGACAGACTATTAAATAAAATCACTTCGTTTTTCAAGTATTCCTGGATATTCAAGAAGCCTTTCAAGTACTCCAGGATATTTTTTTAAATCACTGTATTTACATAAGAACCAGTGCTTAAAAAAATGGTCACATTTTTCACTGTTCCTAAAAGAAATAATTCATTAATTATTAACTATCATCAAATTAATTTTCATTTAATAGCACCTCATTCTTTGGAAATGAGCCACTATTTCTCAACTTTTAAAAATGACAATTCTCGGCCGGGCGCTGTGGCTCACGCCTGTAATCCTAGCTCTTGGGAGGCCGAGGCGGGCGGATTGCTCAAGGTCAGGAGTTCAAAACCAGCCTGAGCAAGAGCGAGACCCCGTCTCTACTATAAATAGAAAGAAATTAATTGGCCACCTGATATATATATAAAAAAAATTAGCCGGGCATGGTGGCGCATGCCTGTAGTCCCAGCTACTGGGGAGGCTGAGGCAGAAGGATCACTCAAGCCCAGGAGTTTGAGGTTGCTGTGAGCTAGGCTGACGCCACGGCACTCACTCTAGCCTGGACAACAAAGTGAGACTCTGTCTCAAAAAAAAAAAAAAAAAAAAAATGACAATTCTTTCTTATAAACTTAAAATTCTAAGGCCATGTCTGTCATTTTATTGCTAATACAATTAGCTATTCCCTCTAAATGTAACATTCTATAACAATGAAAATGCATTTTTCAAACTACATTTGCCTTCCTTCTCCCTTTAAAAGTCCGCTCTACCCAGGGCATAGCAAGAACAATGCAAAATGAACACTGGCATGGACACCACCAACCCTGAAGAGACTGCTGACTACATGATAAAAACAAAAAAATTGTGTTTAAAACACAAATATTATCCCTGGTTGTCTAGTGGTTAGGAAACACACATATACATACAAATATTACATCTTTATAAAAACACAAATATTAGGTACTTATTGAAACATGTGAAACAGAAAGTTCCAAAGCCTAAATTCTTACAGTTTTTGTTTATCAATTTAAGTGAAATCAGGGAAATCCTCACTACACCAATGTCTGACATTAGGGAGCATCACTTCTTACCCTTACCTTACCTAAAGAGGCCAATTAAGATACAACCAGCCCAGTAAACGGCAGCAACTGAGGAATGTATTTGTAATTGAGAAAACACACTACACACTCAACATCTAAGTGGCTGGCAAGGCAGGAAGCCCCCAGCAAGGTAAACGGGAAGCTGTTTTCTACCTGCTTGGTTCTCACTGCAGCCTGCACCTGAGCCAGCATTTCTCCACCCTCCCCACCACATAGCAACTGCAGTCATTCTCACAGAACTCAAACCACAGCCCTGCGAATCCAACACAAGGCAGTCAAGTACCAATAGACTTACAAGCACCCACTTCAGAATAAGGACCAGAGGGGACTCAGTGCCCTGGGTCCACTGGCAGAACTGCTCCTGGGTGTGATGGCAGTGACTTCTGCCACTCACTGTCCACACAGGGCCCCACGACCTCATCAACACAGGAGAAGGAAGAGATGGAAACCTGGTCCAAGGTCACACCACGACTTTAGTATTTTTAAATCATGTTATGTTCGCTCAACCACATCAGAGATTCCAATACTCAAGAAAAACCAGTTCAAGCTCCCACAACAGTTCATTTTATTCATGACATAAGGAAAACATATCGGAGGATGTTTCAACCCATGTAATAGAAATCCCATCAAAATTATTAAATTAGGGGACTTTGGAAAACAAATTTTTCCTGAACTTAGATATGAAAATGGTAGTCTACACCCAATTCAGAAATGTGAATTCTAGAAACTTCATCACAATATATACAAACTTCCACATTCCATCTACAGTATGACCTTGGGAAATGTTCACTCTTGCATATCTGTCTCAGCCAAAATGCAAAAGCACTACAGAAAACTGGCTTCTCTTGTAACTTTTAGTACAGAAGCTTCACTTTCTCCTGTCCTTGCTTCAGTCTCTGGTCACCTTCCTGTTTCAGGAGACACACCTGACGCAGGCCACAGGTGGACCCAAGGACCCAACGTCTCCCCCTTCCAGCCAGACTACCAGGGCTGGGGCACGGAAAGTCTTGTGAATCGGAATCACTAAAAGCTTGTATTTCATTTAACTGGCCCATCAATGTCACTTAGCAGTCCTTCACCCGTGCCCAGCAGCTCCTTCTCCTGCTTGCCTGTGATGACTTCACCTCTGAGCCATCTCCTGGTACCCAGCGAACTGCAAAGTGCACCCTCTGCCTTCAATGTCCTCACCATCCTCACTGCACTTCCCTCCCACCCTCCCTGCTTTCATCCACCGCCACTTAAATATCATTGTCTACCACAAGTCATTTACTCGATAATTTTTAGCAAGTCTATTTTGTTTAAAAAAATATATAGAAATTCTCACTCTTACTGCATTTGGTCAGATTTTTCATTAGAAAAAATAACAGTCTGCTGAGCAGTAAGAGAGGCTGAAAGTATGCTACCGATGTGCTGACGAGCTTTCAGCCTCAAGTAGTCAGCACACGCCAGACCTGGAGACGCACCGGCCCCCTCAGTTACCACTGCGCCGACGCTGGCACGCTGAGGCTGGCACGAACCGACGAGAGAGCAGACACTGGGGGGTGTCAGAAAGGAGGACGGGAAGGGCAAAACTGACTTTCTGAGGGGTGAATCTTTTGGGGCTATTTCCACTTAACCCTTAAAAATACTTTTATTATATTAATAGCTGGAAATCAGCATCGCTCAGTGTGAAAACTTTTATCAATTTACAACTATTTTACCCATTTTAACAAAGGGTAAAGAAAGTTCCATATATCAGGCATTCAGAAAGACTGCATGACCGCCCCTTTCTGGTGTGACTAGCTCCAGGGCACACCTGGTTTTCACAGGACCCAGCTCTGCACTGCGGTCAACAGCGCAGGCAGCTTCTGCGCCCGCCCTTCTTCCCCAGCTCCGGAGGGAGGCAGGCCGTGTGCTTCTCTTTGATTTCACTTCCTCCATTCTGCCCACAATTAGAACAAGCTGAAAGAGGTCCTGACCTTTCTGTCTTCATTACTTAATATGTGATGCCTCAATATTTATTACCAATTTTCTTACTGGGCTTCTAGAGAATTGGAAAATGCTTCAGGATCTTCTAAAATCTGTGGTTACCTGTGAATGCCATGACTGATAGAGCGCCGAGTCTAAAGTTCTCTTCCTCAACAGTACAGTACAGTACAGTCCCCCTTACCCATGGTTTCATTTCCCAACGTCAGTTGTGGTCCAAAAATATTTAATTAAAAATTCCAGGAACAGTTGGTAAGTTTTAAATTTGAGTACCATTATGAGCAGCATGTGGCAATCTCTTGCCATCCCACTCCACCCAGCCCAGGACGTGAATGGTCCCTGCTGTCTACGCTACCCGCCCCACAGTCCATCAGTCACTTAGCAGATGTCTCAGTGACCAGATCCACTGTCACAACACTGTAGGGCTTGTACTCAAATAATTCCTATTTTACTTAATAATGGCCTCAAAGCACAAAAGTAGAGATGCTGACATATTGTTATAATTTTTCTATTTTATTAGTTGTTATTGTTACTCTCTTATTACTGTGCCTAATTTATAAATTAAACTTTATCACAGGTATGTATAGGGAAAAGAAACATAGTATTTATAAGGTCTGGCACCACCCTCAGTTTCAGGCATTCACTCAGACAAGGGGGGCTACTGTACAAGTCGTGTGGCTGCTGCAGCAGGACTTTCTACAAACCTTCCTCCCCTCTTTCCATCAGACAATTAATTTCTAGTCCTCTAAAAGATAAGTCATTATCATTACAGGATAAGGCAAAATGTAACTGGGAAAGTAGATTGGCTTCACTCCACCCAGTGGAAGGTCTACTAAGTTTTGGTTTCTGACTTGCCACAGGCTGCAATCAGGGAAGAGTACTCTCCTTAATCCTTGTCATCCTCTTCTAAAAGGAAGTAGTTAAT